TTCCCTCCCCCCCCAAAGACAAAGCAGCACTCATCACCACCAAAAGAAGATCCTCCTTGCTGTAGTGGGGCATAGGTAACATGAAGGCAACATAGCAAGTTATCAGTCAAGATGGCTTTAGCTGTGTTGAAACTGCTTAGTATGTGGTAGGATAAAGTAATTTAAAGAATTTCCCACCCCATATAAAGAAAAGAAATGTTAGAAGTACAAACCTTACATACAAAATTTTTCCCAGATAGAAAGCTATGGCAAGTAGCATTTTAAGCTTGTCACACTCATATCAGTATTACAAAGATTTAACCTTTTTCACAGATACTACTTCTAAGCTTTTCTTATAGCTGAAGAAGTTCTGACTTCTCTTTTTATTTTAAGGGATGAAAAGTATTAGTTTCAGATTGTCTAATCTCTCTGCAAAAAGACAAAGTTCAAATACTAATTAAGTCTAGGTGGTGAAAAGAAATCTACATTTCTGTAGTGATCTCTTCAGTGTGTTCACTGCCCAGCACAACCACAGTTCTCTGAAAGAGGCGAGAGCGCTCAGGTACTTCACATACCTTTTGAAGATGCATCCTGCTCACATAAGTTTGGGAATCTTATCTTCCCTGCAGACCACCAGAAAGGTTCCTAGAAACTGGGTCTAGGACACAAAAATTTGTTTTAAGCTTAGTTTATCCTCCTCTGAGTGGGGCAGGTAGTATGCTCATTGCTTCAACTGTTGTATGTGGTTCAGAATGTGAACCACACACATAGGGACAGTACTTAAAACAAGTTACTTCAGTTCTGTACTTGAGTAACCCAGAGCAAGGAAAAGGCAACAGATATTTTATTTACCTATGTCCACAGAATAAAACATATTCAGTGTTTGATTTTTGTCTCTTAAGGCTGCTTCTGATGCCAGAAGGAAAGCATAATCTACACCTGCGTTTTGCAGAGGACTTCAACAGACAAGTGGAAGGTTTCCTACGCTAACTTAAACTGTAAAAGAAGTTAGAGGTGTTTGTCCTTGCCTTATTTAGGAATTTAAGTTGGCTTTCCATTTTCATTCAAATTACAGGTAGGTTTGAGTCCTGTAAGAAAAAAAATGAAAGATATTTGCATGAGAAGCATCCATTTTGAGATTATGTAAGCCTCAGTTGATCAGAGTGCACCACTGTGCTGCAAGATTTCTGACACGCCTTTAAACTTACTTCTTGCCACATAAGCGAAATAGCTGTTCTTTTTCCAATAGAGGTGTTAAGAAAGACAGAAAACATGATCTAGAATACATGCCTTTATGTGCTCTTAACATTAAAGGACAAAAACATTGTAATAACTGGGATTCCAAACTGTTACACTGAGAAATCTGTCAAAGTTACAAGTGCTGAGAGGATAATTGGGTACACAGTTTCTAGAGAACATGCTTCACCACCACTATCAGAAGTCATTCAGTACGCATGCCTGCTTTACAGAAGTTCCTTTGATACCAGGGGACTTTACGCTTCATCCTCCTCTCCCTCCT